GAGCCTCTGGTGGTGGATTAGTATTTTTCTCTGGTGCAAGAAGGGACTTTGAGAGCCCATCCCATGTGAATGGTTACACTCTGACCCTGGACACATGGGACAGGGCCTGAAGGGACTTACATGTGAAACAAGCTTGTTCCCTAACTTGAACTAATATTGCTTAGATTCATAGTTGGGGTCATTGTAGTATAACTGTGGATATTTCCCTAGAGCCAAATTTCTCTTTAATCTTTTTTTTTTTGCTCTCTCTATTCTTCCCTCAACTCAATCTTCCTATTCCCTCATGTCTTCCTGCCCCTTCCTATTCTCCCCTTATTTTGCTCCTAACTACCTCTCCCCTCCCAGTGTGCTCCCAATTTGCTCAGGAGATTTTGACCCTTTCTCCTTATTTCCTAACCTGCCATGCCTAACTCCTCACATTTTCAATAATAAATAAAGGTGGGATTGTTGGTATTCAGACATTATGCTGCCCTACCTCGTCACCTGGCACAATGCACTCAGGCCATCCTGAGTACTCTGGTCATCCCAGGGTTCCATAAGCACTAGTCTGCATGCAGGTGCAAACCCCTTTAAAAGACAGACCCCCACCCCCCTATGCTCTCTTTACTCTCTTTCTGATCTTTGTGCTCTTTCTGGCTCCTCTCTCTCTCTGCTCTCCTCTCTCTCTGCTCTCTTCTGCTCTTTCCTCTCTCCCCGCTCTCTTTCCACTGTTCCCCTGGGCAGACAGGACCTTTCCTGTCTCCCTCTACTCTACAGTTCTTTTTCTGTGTCTCTTGACCTCTTTTCTCTTTCCTTCTTTCTCCCTCCCCTTTCTAATAAAACTTCTCACTTAAGCTCTGTCTGCCTGGCATGTTTCTCCCTTTGACTCAGTCAACCTCACCTGCCATGGAATGTGCTATTGTCCCCCAACCAAGGTCCCCCTAAAGCTTTATGCTAACATTGGTGCTGTGACTCGGGTTCGAATTGAGATTGCTGCAGCCACAATACAGTCGATAAATGTGCTGAGAAAGAAATCAGAGAAACATCACCCTTTACAATAGCTACAAACAACATAAAATATCTTGGGGTAATAATAACCAAGCAAGTGAAAGACCTGTATAACAATAACTTTGAGTCTTTAAAGAAAGAAATTAAAAGAAGATACCAGAAAATGGAAAGATCTTCATGCTCTTGGATAGGCAGGTTCAACATAGTAAAAATGGATATCTTGCCAAAAAGCAATCTATAGATTCAATGCAATCCCTATCAAAATACCAACACAATTCTTCACAGACCTTGAAAGAACACTTAACTTTATATGGAAAAACAAAAGACTCAAGATAGCCAAAACAACCCTGGAGGCATCGCCACCCCTGACTTCAAGCTCTATCACCATGCACAAAGCTTAAGTCCAAATGGATCAAAAACCTCAACATAAATTCAGCCACACTGAACCTCTTAGAAGAGAAAGTGGGATGTACCCTTGAACAAACTGGCACAGGAGACCGCATCCTGAATG